GAAGAACTGTTAGTAGATCATTAATGACGTTAGTAAAGTAAACGTTAAAGTCGTTTGCAGTTAATGTAGTGGTTACTTTTTTGTTGCTGTTCCTATGCGAGTTGACTATGGTCCACATCGACTTAATAGGATTACCTGAGTTCGCTATTACATTATCGTTCCATTTAATTTTTGCATGACCAAGCCGCATTCTTTTCCTGCTCAAAATTCTTTCTGGTACTTATTCCTGTCAGGCCATTTTATTCCAAGCAGTCTTCTCCACATCGCCACTCTTTTCTGATTTTTTTCATAATTGTCCACGTTTCACTCCATGCAAAACACTTCGGAATTCCTTTCCTGAGATTTATATCCCACATGCTGCACAGTATTCTACTTTTCCTGACACATGCTTCTTTTGCCATTCCAATGCGCGTCTTTACTCCTTTCCAGCTTCTCCAATCATCTGTTACAGTAGTTCCCGGATATTGAAAGCATTCTATTTATTTCAGGATATCATCTTTCACATACCCTTGCATTTCTTCTGCATCTCCAATTCTCATTACCTTAGTCTGTTTCTGATTCATAACTAAACAATATTCCTTTTCCCCCATCTTTAAGTTGTTTAATTAATACTTTTAGATCATCTGTATTTTCTGTAAACAAGGGAGTGCCATTAGCAAACCGAATGGATACAAAATTTCTTCCTCCAATATTTACGCCTTTATCACCTTTCCGACACTTTGAAGCCATGTGAACACACCTACTTCACTCCCTTGGCAAGTTAGTCTGTTTCCGCGGACTCTCAATGCGCTGTATCCTTCAGATCTACCCCTTTTTCTTTTACAATGTCCATCAATTTTTCCCATAGAACACAATCAAATGCCTTTACCAGATCAACGAAACAGAAACCTAGATTCTTTCCTTTTTCCATATCTTCCACCTATTGTTCTGACACATCCATCTCTTGGTCCCATCCCTTTTCTAAATCCGAATTGCTCTTCTGCCACACTTTCTTCCATTATGCTCTCGAACCTTCAATATTTTCGCTGCATGTCTACGGGCTGATTGTTCTATGTTCAGCAGACAATTCAAAAGTTCAAAAAGAACAGGCTATTTAATCAGGTTTGTCCATAAGGAACAACTTACATTTGCTTCTTAACTCTTAGGCGCCACCTACTGCAGACCTACGATAATTTGACGTGCTAACCTTTTTGTGCCAGTATACAACTCGCCAAGTGCAATTATTCAATCATCTGGGGGGACTTGCTTTGATTTTAGCAAGATCTGAGATGTTCCTTCCCATGTACCTTTTTCCTAGTAGTAAACCACCCAGTACTGTAATTGCCTATTTAAACATTTTCACTACCCCGTGTGGAGTAATAAAAACCACTGTAATCACATCCAGTCCAAGCTATATGATACGGGGGATCGTTAGAAAGGATTCATTAAAAATTGCGTTGTTAGCATAATAAATTCTATACCGAAGAGAAGAAACAATAGTAGGTGCTTATTCAGAATGTGCACGTTACATCCTCATTCGAAAAACATAAATTCAATTTCAGGATCCAATGTATGGAGCTCGATATATGAAGGTGTAAGATTCGTTTTTTTGTAACAGCATTACAGTGACAACCTTATCATCCCATCGCGCTCATTTATTTGCTTTATATACTCGCACGTATACGGCACTATAACCTGGTAACGTAGACGCCGTATTGACATTATCATTAACTTATTTATACCAAACTTGTATTGATAGGACGGTATTTCATACAACGACATGGCATATTGACGACATGTCAATATACACTACATTATCTCCTATTTCTCCAATGGGAATTTATGTTCGCAATAATGAATTTTTCATTTTTCTATATAGACATTAAAGCTTTCACCACATAAACCGCAGCGAGAGACGCGACCCGTCATCGATTATTTAAATCGGCATGTATATCTCGTCGGATCTTTTAATTGTTAACTCCAATTAAACTGCGATCTTTTAGTGAAGAATTACACGCGCCGTTGCTTGATGTAAATTTCATTACCTTTCTTAGAACTTCCTCGCAACAAATTGAATTTAAAGTCTTCTCGAGATGATTTCTACTTAAGGCAAGGGCAGGTTGGGTCCCTTAATCCATGACCCTCCGATTTGATTAATATAAATTCCATAGGAACATTTTTAATATGAAGGTAATATCTCCGGAAATTTTCATTGTCTCGGAACACAGTAGACGTATTAAAAAGAGGGCAATTATGTACATCATATTCGAGCGAATTCTTTTATTCTTCAGCGCAGGTAATTGCGTGGGTAGCACTGAAGAATGAAAATTAATATATTGCAATGTAAAAGAAAAGGAGCAAGCTGCGATATCTATGAAATCTGTGTGTAGAACGTACGTGACTTCATACTTCTCCCTTATCGTACGGCAGTCCTAACCAACAAGCTACTTTTGTATTCTGCTAAGCCTAAAGGTGGGTTTTCACGTTCATGCAATTTGTACAGATTGACTCCTTTGTGCAAGTAAATTATTGTTGCATGAAAACTAAAATCTCTCACTTGCACAAGCCAAAAAGTGTGGCATTTATGCTTTGCGGACTAACAGAATGTGCAAAAAATTTTAACAGATTTCCGCTGCTCTTGGTTTCCTCGCCGTATGACAGATGAAGAGAGAGAAGTAGCAGAATTATCAACTAACTTTTGTTATTGGGTTACGCCGTTTTGGCACTGTAACGGGCTTATTTACATGTATAAGACTTGAAGACCTCACATGCATAAATTAAAATTGAAACTCTACGGCAGCGGCAAAAAATTTAACATTAATTTTAATTCACCCACGGCTAGCTCAGTCATAAAAATGTTTTTATACCTCCTAGGTACCTCGCGGAACATTTTTGATGAAATCTCCATTGTCGAAACGTTATGATAAGACTGGTAAATAAAATCGACTTTGTTATAACGTTTTTTATTTTATATTTTATTTTATTTTTTTCTAAATATTTTATAAATATAAAATAAACGTTATAACAATGTCGATTTTATTTACCTACATCGCGGAAGTTTGGCCTATCTGCTCTTAAAATCTGAAATTCAAAGTGTAATGCTCTAGTTTTATTGAACCCTAATAATACGCATATGACTTGATTGAATATATTATGTAAAGTAAAATCTATCAAATTTCATTTTTCTTTACCACCCCCTAGATATAAAATATTAACTGGATTCATAAAAAGAAATACAAGAAAATACTTTGCAATCCTTATCTAGTGATCACGCCCATGCTAAATTTGATCCTTATCTTAATATTTTAATCTTTACCACATAATGAATTACTGGTGAACCTTATTTTCAAGTGAGCCAGGTTTCAGCCAAGGTTGCTTACCCATCTTAACCCACCAACCATTATACATTTATAAATATATATAAACCTCAATGACGTAGCAGCTCTTAGGGCACCTTCTGATACGTTCTTATCCGACTCGAAGGACCAAAATGTTACATAATTGAATAAAACACTTATCAGAAAATTACCTATAATTATGTCGGGTGGACTGTAACATCTAAAACTTTTCTCATAATAATAATGTAACAATTAAATACTTGCAAATAATAACCGTGGAGGCTAGTAAAGTCGAAAACAATGGTCTAGTCATTAACAACCAACATTTTGGGCAAGTTTACTTCAAAATTACCGGTACTTATACAACCTCGAATAGAAGCTATGTCACTCAATTTCATCGGATATTAAATCCTTAAATCTTTCACAATTTAAAAAGTCGTGTTAACGTCCTCGGCCATAAAGTCTGAAACAAAACAATTTTTATTGTTAGGTATTTGAGGGACCGTTGAAAGGGGATTATATTATATTCGGAAAAATTGCATAACCCCTTCTGAAGTTGGGGCATTGATGTAGGAATACAAAAGCTTGATTTAAATGTTTATAGTTACCTCAAACATTTGCATGTATCCATAGAAACGTTGTTTACTCTTTACTCGGTCGTAGATTAGTTTGGTAGCCATTAGGCATTGATTTAAGAACAATTTGTGTTCAAAGCTAATTATTAATTGTGCTAGTATCAGGTAAGAGAATACAATATTAGTTATAACAATTCTAATCAGATTGCAAACAACGATTGCCGAACAAAATAAATAAACGTTAAATCTTGATACAACTACAAATCTTTATAAACTGCTGCTTGTGTGCAGAGCTTTTAAGGGTATATATAGACATAGAATGCTTTATAGTAGGTCATTACATTAGCTTTGCTGGTGGCCCATGACAAATGAGCTACCTATCTTAATACATCAACTTTTTTCTCGCCATAGTCATAGTAATGCACTATAAAATATGAAAGCTTTAGGTACTAATTTACACTCATTTCTCGTACCGATCCATTGGGAAGACCATGTCCAATTCCTGCTTAGAGCCACACAAGTGATCCTAACATATAAACACATTTTGATCTCTATTGCTGAATAGACAATTCGCGCCATTTTTGACTATCGGCTTTCTCACCGGCGTGTGAAAATCAAAATTTGCCTCCTCATAGCCGCTTCTATCCCTCCTGAGAATATTGTTAACGCACGCGTGGAAGTCGTTACTCTGTCGATACAAAATAATAAAGATCATTATTGACGTGCAGTATAGAAAAATCGAAGATATCATCTCGACAACTCTATAAAACCTGTTGGCGCCGGCCATTATGAAGAGATTGACAAATCCAATGAACCAGCTTATGGTGAAGGCAGTCGAGATGTTTAACATGAGCTTTGGATAGGAAACGCGTCGCCTTCTGCACCTTTTAACGCAGTTACAAATTTGGAGAGTGATAACAAACAGCAGTAGCGTGCAGTACGCAATGAGGATCATGATGGCTTGGATCAGATATGATAGGTAATTGTGGATGCAGTACACGACACCCACGCACAAAACGCCGAGCACGCACACCCAGAAGACGAGGAGGTAGTGTACGGTGTACTTCCGAAACTTTTTCGACGCACTCTCAAAGAAGGCCGCAATGCACCAATCCGTTGACAAGAATATCGCGAAGAAAAGCGTTGCCATCGCCGCGCTATTGCCTACTTCGTACAGGCTGCACACGAAGACTCCGGGAAGCGAAATATTGTCTAAGATCGCAATCAGGCGGTAGTTGCTCGGTGTTGTTAGAAGACAGGAGAGATCGGCGATGGCCCAATTCGCCAGAATTATGTTGGGTACAGTGCGCATTCTTCTGAAGTGGAAGGTCGTGTAGATGATACCTACGTTGGCCAGGATTGCCACGAAGCAAAGCATTGTAAATAGCATGTCTTGTACGAAGTAGTGCGCCGATGAGGTCGCGTCAAATGTTAAATTGCTGAAATTTCCAAATTCTTCAGCCTCCATATTGGCAGCCTAAAAATGATCCAATTAATTTCAGACTACATCTAAATTTAGAACAGGAACTTTGATTTCAAAGGGCGCTCAAATATTCATTTCTACTTACGTATAAATATCAAAAGACGCACAAGGTGGAGATGTCGCGAGACAATAACAAAATCTGTGGGAGTTACCTACTTCGTGTTTTGCACAATGTTTATGAAAGGGTCTATTACGTTCAATTTATATAATACATCCTGACGCGTGGTTACTTAATTAAACGTGACGCTATTGTTTGGCCATTGTCTTGGAGTTCTTAGCATTAACCCAGACGCGCCGCCGTCGCATTCCCCTTGTTACGGAATTACCTTTTTTCGATAAAAGTAAATTTCTTGTAGAATGACGAATAGCTGTTAATAAAAAAAGTTCACTTCTCAACAAAAAACGACTTTTTGCATACGCGATCATTTATGACGAGGGAAACTGCCGTATTTACGTGTCATTATAAATTTTTTGATTGGATTTGTGCTCGTTATAAATTGAATCGGCAAAGGTAAAACGAATTTCATCCTTAAATCGCCATAACGTTTCCCACGTGAAACACAAATACGTCTATACCTTATATACGCTATGTACATGAGAAAATCGCCCATAGACAATCTCAAGGTTTTTAAAATACACAGTAAGGTGACAGTTCTGCCTACTGCAACATTTTAAGATTTCGAGATAGAACTTCATTTACAAGAACAATTGCACTTTTAAAATGTCAGAATAGTTAGCTTAGACAGTTGACTGGAACATAACGTTTTAAGTTCAAGCATAAATTATGCGCGCTAATCCGAATTTAATTAAATGATAGACTAAAATAAATGCACAGTGACAGTTTGCGCTTGTAAGCCAAAGAGATATTATGTAAAGGTACTTAGAAACTTCGTCCATAAGAGATTTTAATAGCTTTCAAAGGGTTTGCGTTTGAATGACCTTCAAGAATTATCTATAAAGGTTCAAGATTCTTTAAGGATTGCTATTAAGGACTACTGCGGTTTTTAAGAGCTTCCAAATGCCCTAAACAGCTCACAGAGGTCCTTAAGTGCGTATAGTAACATTTAACTTAAAGTTACCTTTGAGTGATTTATTTCTGTTACAGTAATAATAAATAATCCGAGAAAGACGATCCGTAAAAATTCTTTTATTTCATACTATCTAGTAATCGCCGCTTTCCCAGACTGATTTGAGTCTGGTAAATCGTATTTTACCAGACTGAAAATGTTTACCAGACTAGAAATTTTGCCTAGCAACCGCAACTGACATCCATCTAAACGTATGCATTGATATTTGTCAAACTACTGTCAGATCAAACAAATCAAGTGATCGACTTTTGCTTTTATTTTAATATGTACCTACAACATTCTAATCAAAATAGTATTTTAATAGAAATAGAGCAGTATGAAATAAAATGTTTTACATTATTTGTATGTTAAATCAGTTAACGTTACTCGTTTCGAAATTCCTGCCTCAGCTACGCTTCGGCAGTAAACATCTCACTCGTTAACGTAAACCTTGATTTACCATACTCATATGTAAATAACTATTATGTGCGTATACTCAACTATAAACCCAAGGAAGTTTTGTTTTTTTAAAGAATAGTGCGCATGTTATCGCGATTGAAATTTTGCATATTAAATAGTTGATGAACAAAAGCGCTTGAACTTTTTTGAGTACATAATCGTATTAGTGTTAAAAAATGTTAATCAAAGGTAGAAAAATAAGGTGTTGCTCAAGAAACCAATTTCTCCTTTCTCTGTTAAGAAAAACAATTTATTGACTATTATAAAACTCCGGTTAATACGCGCTACACTGTTAAAGAAATTTTGATTTTCTTGTGAATTAAGCAACCAAGATCATTATACGAAGAATATGATCTTGATATCAAACTTCCTGGTGACACATACGTTTATTAGATATTTATGTATATACATATTGTAAGAATAGGTATATACTATGTATTTATGATCTCATTCCATTTACATCTGAAACAAAATTGCATTTCGAACGGCGCTTATTACTTTATATTGCTTTATTCCCTTTTAGTAAAATATCAACTTGGGTTATAATAAGGAAACAATGCATTACAAAAATACACATACGTTCGTATACGCTGCAGGTCACATTCGTACCTAAATTTAAATCCTACCTTCTTTTAAACTTCCGTACAAGGAATCCCCGTTTTATTACCTATACGAGTATATGCCAAAGAAAAGCTTTCTCGTATAAAGAAGTTGTGTAGGCGAACTACCGTCCCAAAAAATCTGTACCCAATCCAGTTAAGGCCAAATCAATGACCACGTTTGAGCCGCATGAGCGTAGTTCAATCAGGTTTCTGCAAATCCGGTTGACATATGGGGCATAAACGTTGTAGAGTTAAAATTCGATCGAATACAACACTTCAACTGAATCCGATAAACTTAGGAGATTGGTATAAACCGAATTGAATTTGATCTCAAATTTTTAGAAATCAGTTAAAGCTAAATTCGCAATTATTTTTACTACTTGCATGTTAGCTTGTGCATTGGGGTAAAAAATGTCCCTTCACTTTTTAGACGAAGATACAATCTTGACGCACCAGGAATCCGGTATGTCCGTCTGTCGGTCCGTGTTTACTCTCATTTCCGGCTAAACCGCTGAACTGATTGGAACCAAATTTGGTACACATATCCATACACATAAAAGGGCAGAATCGCCCATGCGCAGGTGTGCGGATGGTATCTGTGCTAGACACAGCAAATTTTTATTAAGGGTAACGGAAAGTCGTATACTGTCTAAACGTCGCGTCGGTCAAGCAAAGAGAAGATAATGAGACAATCCTAATTTGAACAAAAAGCTCAAAACGCATGCGTACGTTATGTAAGTGACGTAAATAGGCAAGAACATCTCACACCCCATCTCAAGCAATTGAATCTTTACCGAATGAACGATAGGAGGACTATACACTATTTGTGTATTGAATAGCTATCAATTTAGACTCAAAGTAAAAATTATGATTTACAATGAATAATTAAACCTTTAAGTATAACAAGTTTTTGTTACCTAATCTTTCTATATGTATCCTTCTACCTACTTCTTTTAGATATGTAGATACACACGTGGAGAAATTTTGTCATTTTTGTTAATCTGTCGTCTTTTTCTAAGATTTCATTTATTTTCTTTTCATGTAGTCTGCTACAACTCAGGTTTTTGAAATAGTATACCTTTTTTTTTTAATTTTGTTATTTTCAATCACAGTATTTCTAGAAAATTGTAATTCTGCTGGTTGGGAAAAACAGCTTACTGCTGGTCTTCGCCGGGATAATAAAGTATTATTATTATTATTTTAGGGATTGAACAGTAATTTCGATGTATCCACTTGAGATTAAAATATGGTTATTTAGTGAAGATTTCTTCTGTTGTGGTTTACACTCCTATAAAACTTGTTAACAAACCATTATAGTAATTTACCCAAAATCGTCATGAAACCTTCATTTTCATGCCTACTTTATGTCAGGAAATTTTAGTTTCCATGACAGAGGCAGACCATACTACCTTTCTCTACCTTCCTGGCGGGCGTAACTTCACTGGCCGCACTTGTCACTTTTCCGGCCGCACCTGTCACATTGTTAAATGTCTATAATAATACCTGTCATCACTGACACTTTAACATGAATCAAAAGTTCTATACGAAAATAGAAATTGTATATTAAAATACGATTTCGGGTAAAATGTAATGCAAAACTCGATTTATTTTACTCGGAAATTAAAGTACTCGTTTCGAAAGAGATCATACAATATTTCCTCACCAGTAATGTGTCATTTTCCTGAACTTTTATAAATAACTATTACATAAAAGTCAGGAAAATGACAGGAGTGTCAGTAATGTGTCATTTTCCATAACTTTATGTAAATAACTATTACATAAAAGTCAGGAAAATGACACATTACTGACACTCCTGACATAAAGTACGAATTAAAATGATGGTTTCATGACGATTTTGGGTAAATAAAATCTTTGCTTGTCTGTAACCGATAAATATGGATTAACCGTTCAAAAAACTAACCGGAAAATTTACCGAAGGCTTTCACCGAAGGGAAGTTCCAATCTATACGAGGTATCTTTACTCTATTTAGGTAAAATTAATGGTTGCTTATTTTTAAGAGGTTGGAGTTGAACTGGAAGTTGAAAAATATCAAGGAAAATTGGTATGTGTTTTCTTAAAGATATCAACCTCTGCGCATAGTTTGAAGCCGTTTGTATTGCATGTATTTTTACCATTTATGAACTCATTAGAATTGGATTTGAAAGAAAAAATCATTTTATCATTTAAAGTTAATTTGATTTTTCAAGTAAGGAAATCTTCGAACTCATTTCACTTATCAGGTAAATTGTGTATAAAAAATTGTTCCATATATAGTTGTTAGGTTTGACATTAAGTTGGGGGTAATTCACAAAGATCGTGGCCACGAAAATTGGCCTAGTTGAAGTTATCATAAATAATCTGACAACCTGTAAAGGGAATTGTAAATTTAAACTATTTCATTCTTTGATTTTTACGTCAATATATTGAAAACATGACGGTAATTTTATATTCAATTTTGCAATAAAGCAAATTAAAAACAATTGGTTTTGAAGTCAATTTTCAGACAAAATAGAAAAGGAGAAATATTTCAGTAAGTACATACGCCACTAAAATTGATCTTATGTATTTATGTTGAGTTGATGAAATTGCACGTATAATAAAGGGACTTTATTAGGAGTGATTATAAATTAAAATAGTCCCACAATTCCCCTACGATTGTTTGAGAGAGGCGACTAACTTTGAGAACGAATTTTAAGGTTAATAAGTGTAGATTTATTATGAACTAGCGGACTCGGTGAACTGCGCCGCCTCACCTCGCGCAGTTTTACCAAGTCGCACTAAATATTTTTAGTCTGTGGCCCGATTGGAATAATGACCAATGAGAAAGAATGTAATAATTTGAGTTGTTTAAAGACAAGACACATGTATGGCTCTACAGTGAACTTGGTGGATTTTGACTTACTTCACCTTTACTTAGCGAAAAATAATTTTTATCGACTCGAGGGGATGTGAATCTGGAAAGTTCAACGAATTAGCTCATTCTTTGCATAAGGCTTCATTATAGCATTAAATGTTAACTAGCAAGTAACGACAATGCACCCTGAAAACATGCATAACTACATTACCTACTACTGAATTCATAGTATTCATCCTCCCACTCCAACGCCCAACGGTTGTTTAATCATGGTAGAATTAATTAATATGAGTTTAAAATTACGTTAAACGTTGCGGAAAATTCCCTCGTGAAATAAATATATATATGGAGCCACCATCAGCAGAGAAATAATTCAAATTTCGATTAATTGAATACTCGTAAAACAAAACGTTCATTGTGCACA